AACGGTGTTTTTTGTTTTGTTTTGTTTTGTTTCGTGTCCTTTTTATTTACAGTTTTTTCTGTTGCAACAGAAAGTGGCTTGGAAGTCTTAGGTGGTATGTAACAAATTATTTTTAAAAATTTTTAAACAGTATTTAAGTATTCTTAAATGTGTAAATTCATTAAATGTTTTACTTCTAATTTCTTGTACCTTGGCTGTCTGGTTTTATTGCATTTTTTAAAAAACTGAACTATTATGTATTGTAATTAATGATGTGAATTCTGAATTGAGACAGATCATTGTATTGCTGTCCAGCAGGGGTTGGGAGGGGCATTTTGTAGGGTTTGTATGATTTCTAGAGTTCTTAAAGGGTAATATAAACATGTGTTCATGTGTGTACCATATGTTTTTCATGTCTCCATTACCAGTTGCAATTGTGTATCTAAGACCTCCAAGCTTGTTTTAAAAACAAAACAAAAAAACCTTTCTCTATTCTCTCAGAAATATAAATACTGTTATTTTTAATATTAAGAAATTCAATATAACTTTTAACAAACACTGTGGAACATTAAACCGTATAAAAATGTAGTAACTATTTTTTAATTCCAAGGTGTTGTTTGCTTTTTTCTTTTTAAATATTTTCTTAATATTTTGTCAAATTAACTAGATGAATAAATAAATCTAGTATTAACCACAATATGAATTAAATAATTTTGATTTAATAAAAGGGATAATATGATTTTCAATGTTTACTGTAGCGTATCTTGTACAGATAACATGTATTTTTAAAGGAAAAAAAAACGGAATTGAAGCTATTTTTTCTTGCATTTTTAATTGACCTGAGGGACATTCCGTTTAAAATGTACTGAAGTTACAGTTTCTGGGTTTTTCTCCTCATTTTCTTATAATGCTTGAAATGTCTAACTATTAAAAAAGACAATTGGAAAATGTTATGCATGTTGTTTAAAAAAAGTGTTCTTTTTATTTGACTGACAGTTCATTTTACACTCGACACAATAAAAGGTCCACGAGCTGTCTTGCGGGCCAAGCGTCTCCGGCCTGTGTCTCTGCGTCGCCGCCTCCCGTCGCCTCGGCCCTCTGGGCTTCTCCCTGCGGGGTCGCAGCCCGGTGTCCGGCGACGTCGTGGGGCTAACCTCCTCCGGATGGCTGTCTCCGCTGGCAGCCGGCTTGAGACCTCGGTTCCCACCAGCCCTTTCGCGGCCCCGTCTCAGCCCCTCCGAGTGCTGGGAGGCCACGGAGCTCGGGCCGGAAGCGGGGTCTGCCCCTTTGCCGGC